TCAGTCTCACGTTCCCACTACCGATATCACTATCGATCTCCCGCGACCTGTCGATCTCATATCGATCGACCTCACTACTGATCTCACTAGCAATCTCACAATCGACTTATAGATCGATCACGCTATCGATATTACTGTATATCTACTCACAGCTATGTATATAAATATATATATATATATACACCTATAGATACATGTATACACATGCATGTATATATGGTCCTGGGCTCCGGGCCCACGGACCGCCCCCCCCCCAGCTGGTATGGTCCCAGGATTCCTCGGGCCCCCCCCCCCCAGATGGTATGGTTCCAGAGACGACGACGATGACGACGACGACGACGACGACTACGACGACGGCGGCGGCGACGACGACGACGACGACGACGACCACGACAACGACGACGGCTGCGGCGACGACGACGCCAGCGGCAGCGGCGACGACGATGACGACGATGACGACGGCGACGACGACGACAACGACGACGACGGCGACGACTACGACGACGGCGACGACGACGACGACCACGACGACGACGACGGCTGCGGCGGCGACGACGCCGGCGGCGGCGGCGACGACGATGACGACGATGACGACGGCGACGACGACGATGACGACGGCGACGACGAGGACGACGAGGACGACGAGGACGACGAGGACGACGACTACGACGACGACGACGACGACCTCTGAACCACCACAGCACCACACCACATCCACATGGGGGGGGAGGGGGGCACCGCAGCGCAGCACCACGCCACGCCCACCTCTGAACCACCACAGCACCACACCACATCCACAGGGGGGGGAGGGGGGCACCGCAGCGCAGCACCACGCCACGCCCACAGGGGGGGGCGGGGGGGACCATCGCGCGGGGGGGGGGGGCCCAATGGCATTAGCATTGGGGGGGGGGCCCAAGCCCTGGACCATATATGCGTGCGTTTCGATATTACTATCGATATCGCACCCTACCGCACAATCGATCGCACTATCGATGTCGCACTCGAATTCACCACGAGGCACAAACGCATCGAGGCAGCCAGCGGAACCATATATTTGCCCGCGCGCTGTTCCGTTCAGAAGAACATGCGAAGAAGATACAAGACCACGGGGCACCACGAGACACCACGGGGCACCACTACAGATCTCACGATCGATCACCATTATCTGTCGATGTCACCCCCGGGCCTCCGATCTGTCGACCTCATTCTCGGACTCAGAGTCAACTCTACTACCTATCTAGCAGTCTCTCTATCAACCGATCTCACTTTCGAAATGCCACCCTGTGGCGCGCCAATTGGTCGGAAAAGCCTTGGCTGCGATGCGTTAGTGGTGATGACGACAGGGGTGATGGCGATGATGCTCGTGTGGATGCAGATTGTGGTGCTGCTGCGGTGATGGCCTTGATGCTTATGATCCTGATGACCGATCTCACGGTGCCGCACCCGATATGAACCCAAACCTGCCTACCGTCTGAGAACGGCAACGCGGCCAGGCCGCTCGCAGAGAACCGCGGGAGACGCGCGCGAGTCACGGAGTGTGGGCGCCGAGGCCAGGAGTGCGCCGCCAGGGCCTGGCGCTACCACTCGCCTGTACTGGCTACTGTCTACCTGTCGATCTCATCATCGATCTCACTCCATCGGTCGATCTCACGATTCATCGATCTCACACAACCGACCGCACTGACGATCTCACTGCCGACTTTTCGATGGATCTCACTATCGACCTGACTACTGATTCATCAGGAGACCTCACGGGACACCACGAGACACCACAGGACACCACAGGACACCGCGGGACACCGCGCAACGGGACACCACGGGACACCACGGGACACCACGAGAAACCGCGCCACGGGACACCACGGGACACCGGCGGGACACCCTCGAGCCACCCGTGGCCGACCGGGTGGCGTAGAGTCATTGAGCTCAGTTTCGCCCTGGCCACGGCGGTTCATTCCTCTCGCCCGCCCACGCAGCTTCGTCCTGCTCGCACCCACGACACGAACACGAAACCAAAAGCAGTTTCTTAGTAGGGGCGTCTCCAATTCACGTCGAACTCACCCCCCAACTCTGATCTTCTACCAATCTTCGTCTGCTGATATTGAGTTGGCTCTCGATTGTGGCTGCGCGGGCACCTCCTCGTCGGTCCAGTCCAGGACGCCCTTCATCGGGCCCGCCGCCGCTTCCTTGACCGCGGCCACAATCTCGTCGTATTTCGCGCCCTTCTCCAGGCGGCATGTCAAGTCCACCACCGACACGTCGGGCGTGGGCACACGGAAAGCCATACCAGTGAGCTTGCCGTTCACCGCAGGGAGGCACTTGCCCACCGCCTTCGCGGCACTCCCCCTTGTCCTCCTCCTCCTCCTCCTCCTCCTCCTCCTCCTCCTCGTCCTCCTCCTCCTTCCTCGTCCTCCTCCTCCTCCTCCTCCTCCTCCTCCTCCTCCTCCTCCTCCTCCTCCTCCTCCTCCTCCTCCTCCCCCTCCTCCCCCTCCTCCCCCTCCCCCCTTCGTGGGCCTTGGCGGCGCCGGTGGAGGACGGGATGATGTTCTGGGAGGCGCAGCGGCCCCCGCGCCAGTCCTTGCCGCCGCGGGACGGGCCGTCCACCGTGAGCTGCGTGGCGGTCATGGCGTGCACCGTGGTCATGAGGCCCTCGACAATGCCGAACTTCTCGTGGACCACCTTGGTCAGCGGGGCCAGGCAGTTCGTGGTGCAGGACGCGTTCGACACAACGGTGTCCGAGGCCTTGTACTCGACATGGTTCACGCCGACGACGTAGATCGGGACGGAGTCCTTGGGAGGGGCGGAAATGATGACCTTCTTGGCACCGCCCCCGATGTGCAGCTCGGCCTTCTCCTTGGCGGTGAACACGCCGGTGGACTCGCAAATGTAGGAGGCGCCCGCATCGCCCCACGGGATGGACGCGGGGTCCTTCTCGTGGAACACCGCAATGTCCTTGCCGTCCACCACGAGGAACTCCTTGCCGCCAGCCACCTTCGTGGCGATGGTGCCCGGGTAGCGCTTGTGCACGGAGTCGTACTTGAGCATGTAGACCATGTACTCGAGGTCCATGAAGGGGTCGTTAATGGCCTTCAGCTGTACCTCCGGGTTGCCGAGCGCCGCGCGGCAGACGAGGCGGCCGATGCGGCCGAAGCCGTTGATCCCCATCGTAGCCGGCATGGCTCTCGAGGAGCGCCGCAGCTGCGGGGAGTCCTTCCGACCGGGAGGCTGAGACGGCCAAAGCGCTTGAGCAGAGAGAGGTGCGGATCCTGCCCCGTCCTCCTCCACTCGCCATCCCTCCCTCCTTTACCTTCTCCTCTTCCTCCTCCTCGCTCCAACCCCCCGCCCCCCGCGCCCCTGAATCCTCGAGCTTGGAGCTGCAGGGAGATTTCTCGCAAGCGGCTGATGCCCTCGCACCCCTCCACTCTGGCCAAAAGCCAGCGGGCGTGGAAGAACACAGCAAGGTAAGCGGAGAAAAGTGGGGATCGATCGAGCGTTCACGCCTCGCCCCCTAATCCTCATGAGCAGCAGTAGAATAGTTATAAATACTAGCAGCGATGATAATAATAATAATAATAATAAGAATAGTAGTAATACGACTACTAATACTAATCATGATAATAATAATAAAAATGATAATGATACTAATACTACTATGAAGAATAATGATAATGATGATAACAATAATCATCATCATTATCATTATCATCATCATCATCATCATCATCATCATCATCATCATCATCATCATGACCATCAGCAGCACCACTATCATCATCAGCAGCATCATCATCATCACCATCATCTTCATGTTCATCATCAACATCAACATCATCAGCAGCAGCATTATCATCGTCTTCATCATCACAATCACCATCACCACCATTTCCATAAGAATCATGATCACCACCACCACCCAACATCATCACCATCACCACCTCCACCATCACAATCATCATCATCATCATCACCATCATCACCATCAGCATTAACAGCATTATCATTATCATCATCATTATCATCGAGAGCATCAAAATTCCTCATCATCATCATCACCAACACAATCATCAACATCAGCATCAGCATCATCATTCTCACCATCACCTCCACCATCACCACTTCTACAATCAACAACATTAGCATCATCAGTAGCATCATAATCATAATTCATCATCGTCATCAGCATCGTCATCATCACCATCTGCATTATCATCCTGGTCATCAGCATCATCAGCAGCAGCATTCATCATTATCATCACCATCATCATCATCATCATCATCATCACATCATCGTCCTCATAATCATCATCATCATCATCAGCAGAAGCATCAGCATCACCACCATCACCATCATCATCATCATCATCATCATCAGCATCATCATCATCGTCGTCATCATAATCAGCATCATGATCATCATCCTCATCATCATCCTCATAGGCGTCGTCCCACCATCCCGTCATCATAAGCGTCGTCGTAATCAGCATCATCATCATCATCATCATCATCATCATCATGATCATCAGAAGCATCACCGTTACCATAGACAACATCACCATCAGCAGCATCACCACCATCACCATCACAATCACAATCCCAAGCACCAGCATCACCATCATCATCATGATCATCCTCATCCGCATCATCAGCATCATCACCATCAACACACCCGCCACCACCACCACCATCATCATAACAACCTCCATCCCCATCAGTTTCACCACCAGCATCATCATCCTCATCATCATCATCATCAGCATCATCAGCATCATCATCATCATCATCATCACCAGTATGACCATCATCACCACCTCATCAACATGACCATCACCATCATCAGCATCGTCATCATCATCATCAGCACCATCAGCATCATCATCACCATCATCATCATCATCAGCATCAGCATCAGCATCATCACCATCATCGTGATCATGGTCGCCTCCTCCTCCTCCTCCTCCTCCTCCTCCTCCTCCCCACCGCGCACGCGCCGAGCCCGCCGCTTGTCGAGCATCTGCGCCAGCCTTCGAAGATCGCCGTTGAGGTGCTCGAACTGGTACTCGATGCGGCCGTTGGGGTGCTGCAGGGCAGGCGGTCGGCCCGTGAGCACCTGGCTGGGACGCTCATGCCCTTCATTCCAGCACGTCCACCTCCTTTCCCTCCCGCTTTCCTGCCGTTTCCTGCCTCCTCCTCCTGCCTTCTCCTGCCTCCTCCTCCTGCCTTCTCCTGCCCTCCTCCTGCTCCTCCTCCTCCTCCTCCTCCTCCTCCGCGTGCCTCCCTCACTCCCTCCTCCTCCGCCCATTCTGCATCATATTCCTCAAGTCCTCCTCCTCCCCATTCTCATCCTCATCCTCATCCTCATCCTCATCCTCATCCTCATCCTCACCCTCACCCTCACCCTCATCCTCATCCTCATCCTCATCCTCATCCTCATCCTCATCCTCATCCTCATCCTCATCCTCATCTCATCCTCATCCTCATCCTCATCCACATCCTCGTCCTCATCCTCATCCTCATCCTCATCCTCATCCTCATCATCATCATCATCATCATCATCATCATCATCATCAGCATCAGCATCAGCATCAGCATCAGCATCAGCATCATCATCGTCATGATCATCATCATCACCATCATCATCATCATCATCATCATGATCATCATCGTCAGCAGCATTATCATCAGCATCATCATCCACATCATCATCATCATCATCATCATCCTCATCCTCATCCTCATCCTCATCCTCATCATCATCATCATCATCATCATCATCATCATCACCATCGCCATCGTCATCGTCATCGCCATCATCACCATCATCATCATCATCATCATCATCATCATCATCAGCATCTCGCCTCCTCCCCCTCCTCCTCCCCCTCCTCCATCCCTAGTCCTTTTTCCCAAAGAACTGGGCCCGTTTGCCTGGTCGCCGCGCTTATGACCGCCCGTCGCCGCCCGTCGCCGCCGTCCGACGCCGCTGCTGCTGCTGGGCCTGT